ATGATGTAATTATGTACAAACATAAATAAAGTAGAACAAAGGCATAGGGGTCACTATAGCAGAATATGCAGGGCATCCGCCTGGCCCCCATTCCTTTTAAATAAAAAAGAAAACCATTACTACTTTCATGTCACTTCATTTTGTGACCTGGGTGGTTTTGCCAGATGTGGCAATTGGCACCAGAACAGGGACCCAGAGTGAAGCTGTGAGTGCCTGAGAGGACACCCCACTTGAAGGAAAGTGGAGCTCCGTAACAGAAAAAGGGTGAGTGTCGGTGAATTAAAGAAACCTTTTATAAGCCAGGCTGACATGGGGAATTCAGCATCTCATGAAAGAGATCATTATATTCTGGTTCTTAAGGCCTTAGTTCAGGCTAGAGGTATTTCAGTGTCTAAGAAGCAATTAGAGTATTTTTTTGCAATGTGTAGATCACTGTTGCCCTTGGTTTCCTCTAGAAACAATCAGTGATTTAACAGCTTTGGAGACCATTGGTCAACAAATGGATGAACGTTTAAAAGAACATGGGCTGGAGGATTTCCCCGAGTGTGTATTTTCTACTTGGAGTATCTTAAAACTGTGTTCAGAAATAGATAAGGGAGTAATTGTTGGCATAGATCCTAAAGTGGGGAAGGAGAAAAATGTAGATACAGATTCAAAATTAAAAGAGTTAAAATTACAAGAAGAAATAGTTAAACAGAAGTTAGAAACTGAACCCTCAGAAGTTAAGGAAGAGAAGTTATATCCTTCCTTAAATCCATTTTTAAGTCAGAGAAAGCCTTTTTTAAGTCGTTTTTAAATCAGACTGTTTCAGCTGCCACCATGCCTGCCAATGCTTGCTCTCCTCCGGCTTTTGACCCCTTTTGTACCTCAGGAAAGCAAGTTAACTGTTTATCATCCACCTTCTTTATCACTTATACAAGCTATGGTTCAAAAGGCGAGGGCCTGGGAAGTGAAACTTTGGATTCTTAGATGGTTACTGTGTTTGGTGTTACCTCTTGAAGGAGATAATTGATCCCGAGGCTAGGGCTTTTGGTTACACCCAGCTAAAGGTCCAAGGCCATATGCATAGAATGGGACAGTAATCAAGTTGAAGAGATGAACCTGGAATGTCTTTAAAAGGATTATGTGTTTTGGATTATGTGTTTATCTGAATGTACTATGGCTATTGAATGTTCTCTTACCTGCTTGTATATTAGAAATGATTATGGGGTATATGGATAACAGAGAGTGTGTAAGTCCGCCTTTGGCCAATACTTGAATGGATATGTTAAAAGGGGAAATAGAATTTGCCCAGAAGAAACACAGGCTTTTGTTTCAAACCCTGTGTGTAGCATACAGGGGGTTTAGGTAGAAAACCTGAGCCCCGCCCAATACTACTGAGGGAACAGAAGATTTGCATTTGAATAAGGACCTGAAGAGGAAAAAAATAATGACTGGCACTTTGAATTTCGAGCAAGCAGACTGGTTTTGGGTGCATCGAGACAGGAAAGTCATGGTCTGTGAGAGAAACCCCTTCTAGGACTGAAAATTAAAGGAAGCCAGTGAGTAGTAAACTTGTATGTTACTCGCTTGTGACCACCTGGGTCCACCTGAATGGACATAGGGAAAGTGCAGCAAAGAAGAAACGGGCTGAGTTTGGTACTCTTTAATCTAGGCCACAGGTTGGTCTGAAGTGCAATGAATTGTGAGGACAGGGGAATTGAAATAGTCTCTGAGGACTGAAGATGTGAGAGAAGGTGCTGGCTGGTCTGATGTGAAGGGAAGAGTGTGACTCCCAAACTTGGCAGCTGATACCCATGACCTAGCTGGGATGGTGTAGTGTGGCTTTTCTACCCATAAGTCTTTGTAAACTCCAAGGTGGGATTTTCTATGAGCAGCTGAGGAGCTCCTGATTGCTGAAGTTGTCCACCTGGAGTATTTCTGTTGGGAGTGATACAAAACAATGTTCTGGGAGGTTCCCACTCTCTCTCAAGTGCTTAGAGTTCTGATGCTATGATTGGTTAGTTTGACCACCCTGCTGGGCTCAAAAGGAGGCCTCATAGAGGCAGAATTCTCTCTGACTGCTGTTTGAGGAAGACGTGCTGCTGAAAGAGACACGGGCTCCTGAGACACGCGTTGCTGGGAAAGAGACGCAAGAGACACGCATTGCTGAGTGAGACACCGAGGGACCAGCACTGCTGGGAAAGAGACTGAGAGACTTTGGCTGAGGGACAGTGGGCTGGGAGAGAGACTGAGCATTTTCCCTGAACTTGAATTGTAGCCTGTGGTGCTTCCGTAATAAACCCCATAATCTGTGAGCTCTGTGTGGCCACTGCAGTGAATTATCGAACCCAGGAGAGAGGCGGTGGGTGCTTTGGGAGGAACGTTGGAGAAAGGGCTGGAGGGAGGCAGCATGTCCGGCCTCACAGGAATAGGCCTTGGGCTATTGATGGTGATTCTGTCTTCCTCTTGTGGGATTAAAGGAGATCAGAACATGTGGCCTCCTTGCCCCTTTTGCAGATGGCTAGGGCTAAGCTGATCAGAACCCAACCCCCAAACTTGGTAGTTGTTACCCATGATCTAGCTGGGATGGCTAGGGTCGAGCTGACCAGAACCCGACCAAAGAGGAAGATGTTTGACAATGAGCTGGTGTTAAGTTGCTGCAATTTGATGGCTTGAGCTGGGCTGGACTTTGGTTGTTTATGGATCCAGATGCCTGAAGTTTCCAAGCAGAACAGAAGATTCTCCAGAGAGAAAGGACCATGCTTGTCTCCTCAGAGTACTGGTTTGATGTTGTTGTTGTGTTTTTATATGTCGTCAAGTTGGACCTGACTCATAGCGACCCCTCCTTGGGTTTCTGAAGTGGTATCACTAGGGAAGTAGATTGCTCAACCTTCCTTCTGAGATAGGGATGGGCAAATTAGAAATTGACTATTTAAAATGGGGGGAGATAAAGGCATGAAGTGGCTGGCTTATACACTTTCATTGGTGTGGTTATTCTTAAACTGATGGTGAAAAGGATGTGAATTTTTGAAGGATAAAAGGTATAATGGCTAGAAATACCAGGGGGTGGCCTGTGGTGTAGTAAATTACCTGGTATGGCTTTTCTACCCATAAATCTTTGTAAGATCCATGGTGGAATTTGCTGTGAGCAACTGAGTAGCTCCTGATTGTAAATGTTATCCACCTGGGTTATTTCTTTTGGGAGTGGCACAAAGCAATGTTCTGGGAAGGTCACTCTCTCTTATGTGCTTAGAATTCTGATGTTATGACTGGCTAGTTTGACCCCTCTGCCAGGCTCAAAAGGAGGCCTCCTAGAGGCAGAACTCTCTCTAACTGCTGGCTAAGAAGGATGTGCTGCTGAAAGAGACATGCACTCCTGAGAGACATGCACTGCTGGGAAAGAGACATAAGAGATATACATTGCTGAGAGAGACACCAAGGGACATGCACTGCTGGGAGAGAGGCTGTGAGAGACTTTTGGCTGAGAGAGGATGGGCTGAGAGAGACAGACTTTTTCCTGAACTTTAATTGTAGCCTGGTGCTTCCCTAATAAACCCCATAATCTGTGAGTTCTGTGTGGCCACTCCAGTGAATTGTTGAACCCAGCAGAGAGGTGGTGAGTGCTGTGGGAGGAACGGTTGGTGTCAGGGTTGGTGAAAGGGTTGGAGGGAGGTAACATGTCTGGCCTCACAGTAATGGGCCTTGGGCTACTGATAGTGATTCTGTTTTCCTCTTGTGTGGTTAGAGGAGGTCAGAAGATGGGGCCTCCCTGCCCCTTTAGCAACCCCAATCAAGTTGCAAACACTATACTTAACGAATTTAAGAAACTTAATCCTTTGAAAAGTATTCCTACAGTTCTATACCACTTTTTACCATATGTTATAACAACAACAACATAATGTTTTTAATTTTATTATTGTTATTCTTTGGATTCCAAAACTAATACATCAAGTAATTCAGTTTTTGACTACTGAGGTACATTTACTGCATTTAAAAAATAAAAAGGGAGGAAATGTTAGAGACCAAGAAAAAGACTCCCAAAAGAACATGATTGCAAGGCATGTGTTCTAATTACAGTTAAGAGATGACAAGGCCTCTCTTATGGTTGAATGTTTGTTTTAAGAGATGGCAAGGTCTCTCTCACTATTAAATGCTTAATTGGCAAAACATCAAGTATTAAAAGTAGATGTTATTCCAGTAGTCCATGTTTTTATCTTATTGGGATGTTTCACACTTTGGGTCTCTGTGCCCTAGTAAACATTTATCATTTTACACTCTTTATTCCTGAGGAGATTTCTGTGATTGTTTTAATGACCACCTGTTGTCCTTGAGTACATAGAGGAGTAAAACTAGCTGTGTAGAAAATAAGCTGATTGTATGAATTCCAAGACTAATGATGTAATCATGTACAAAGATATAAATAAAGTAAAACAAAGGCATGAGGTGTCACTCTAGCAGAAGATGCAGGGCATCCGCCTGGCCCCTGTTCCTTTTAAATAAAAAAGAAAACCATTAATCCTTTCGTGTTGCTTCATTTCATGACCTGTGCCAGTTTTGCCAGATGCGGCAAGTGGCATAGTGCCCAAGGCATTTGACTGCTAACAAGAAGGCTGGAGGTTCAAACCCACCAGCTAGTCTTTGAACAGAAGACTGGGCAATCTACTTCCTAGAAATACTGCCTTGGAAACCCAAGGAGTGGTCACTATGACTTAGAACTGACTCAACAGCAGTGAGTTTTTTGTCTGTTTGTTTGTTTATTTAACGAAATAAGGAAAGGAGCTCTCGTGGTGCAGTGCCTAAGGCATTTGACTGCTAACCAGAAGGTTGGTGGTTCAAATCCACCCATCACTCTGTGGAAGTAAGATGAGGCAATATACTTCCATAAAGATTTACTGCCTTGACTCAATGGCAGTGAGTTTGGTTTGAGTTAATGAAGTAAGGAAACAGTAGTGAAGCACTGCTCCAACCTGTGCATGGGCAAGCTGTAGTCCTGCCTGACCTCAAGTTGCATCACTCACCATGGGGCTGCTGAAGGCTGTGTGTCTGGACAGCACACTGGCCCTCTTGGCCTCAGCCCAGCTTCCTGTGCGCCGGTGAGACCTAGTGCTCTGGCCTCTGTGTGTGACCCGGATGCTCTGGTGGCTTCCAATGCTGCCACGTGGGGACAGTGAGGAGCCCCAGGGTGCCACCTCCTCCTCCTCTGAATCTGCTTCTTGATACATGGCTAGGCGCCGGGCTGTGGGGAGAAGTGCACAGTAAGATATGAAGCATGGACAGGCAGACAGAATGGGGCTGAGATTGAATGTGCCATAGGCTCCAGGAAGCAGGCCACAGAGCAGTCACCATTCCTTCACTTATGAACCAAGGGGTGTTTCATAGGAGCTTCTCCTGCTTAAAGTACCAGGATATTCTCAAGTAAGTACATATGCTAATAGCCACCTTTCATAAACAACAAAAAGAAGTTGCTACAGTCACATGAGCTGGGTGTGGGAGTGGAGGTGGCAGCCAGGCCACTGGTGCCAAATCTCAGTTCCTGTCCATAAAACCACTCTGGACACCCATCTCTCAGATGGGTGAACAGGCATGGGCAGAGATGGCTCACAAAGACAAGTCCCTTCTGTTCACTTAGGGTTTTGGGACATACCAGTTGGGCAGGCTGGCAGCTAAGGTAAGGCAGGGCAGACTACAGAGGCTCAAGACTTTGCCCTTTATCCCAGAAATGGTATGTGTTTCCCTTCTAGTGGCACAGAAACAAGGGGTCTCCACCACACAGATGGTATTTCCTCTGAGAATACTTGACACAGCACCTGTGCTAGGGAGCAGGACACTGCTTGCACTAACTCTCCTCCGTCCTGTGGATGAGACACTAAGGAACAGTAAGGAGCCAGGGCTGGGGCCACCATTTGTCCAGCAAGTGAAGCACTCCTAAGAGTCCTTCCTTCCACCTTAGTCTCCTAGGGCTGCTGTAACAAAATGCCACCCAGGTGGCTTATAAATACAAATTCATTTTCTCACAATTCTGGAAGCCAGTGAATCAGCAGGACCACATCCTACAGAAGGCTCTAGAGGAAGATCTTTCCTTGTCTCTCCTAGTTTCTAATAGCCCTGGACATTCCTTGGCTTACAGATGCAGCATAATGCCATCTCTATTTTAATCCTCACAGTGTCATCTTCCCTCTGTCTGCCTCTGTGCTTCTTCTCCTCTTTTATAAGGACACCACTCAAAGGGGATTAGGATCCAGCTTATGCCAGTTTGATCTTATATTAACTCAACTATTAACATTTAGACCCTATTTCTAAACAAGGTCACAGGTACCAGGGTTAGCATTTTGGCCTCTCTTTTTGTGGGACACAACTGAATCCATAACAGAGCACTCAATGGTGCTGCTGAGCACAGTTCCTGCCATCATGGTGAGTGCCCAGTACAACCTGTGGACAGGTGTGTAGGCACTGCTAAGCCCATTAACAGATGGCTCTGGTTTTTCTGGCTTTGCCCAATCAAGAACATTTGTTCATCACAGATGAGCAGTCATGAGACTACTCATGAGGCTCCCTCACTATGAGCAAGTCTTTCCTAAGAAGGTCTGTGGTAGGCCCAGAATGGGCAGGAGTATGTTGTAATGATACTGGACATGAAAGGGACAGCAGAGGGTCCAGGATCAGAGAAGCACCATGACAGGCTCTGTCAAGCAAACAGTATTTCTGTAGCCCCACTCTGTGGGCCATAACTTCTATTCATCACCTCTCTTTTGAGAGGAAGAAATGTGAATAAGGAAGGGAAGTCACCCGCCCATGCTCATAAAGTCAAGTACTTGCTAAAGCCAGGATTCAACTCAGAAGCTTCCAATGATAGCAGCGGAAACTATCCCCCTACATCCCACTATATATCTCCCTACAGAGGAGAATGATGGAGGGGGAAGGGACAGAAAGAAGAGGGAGGGAATGGAAAGGAGAGGGAAGGGAATGGAGAAGAGGAGGCGGCAAGGAGGAAGGTACAGTGGTTGGAACAAACAAGTGGGGTGGGAAACAAAACATTAAACAAAGTGCATAATTTCCTTTGTCTCTGTTTAATATGATTGCTTTAATTTTATAAGGAGGGAATTAATGGACATCATAATTCTTGATTTTATAAAACTCATGCAAATGTCATGTTTCCAACATGTCCTTCTCCAAGTTCTTCTAAATAACAGGTTCCTGTTAATCTTTTCACCTGTCCTCAATTTAACATTTATTTCTGTTATCATGGTTTTGTTTCTTTGGGGTTCTTAGATGTTGCTACAGGAAGGAGAGTAACCTTGGTTACAGAGCAGGGTGCAGCTCTGGAAGTGCTCTGTGGCACAGGGCCGTTATCATAGCACCTTTCCTAGCTCTGGGCACTTGTTCCAGTTGTATCATAGATTATGAACCAAGGGTCCTTGAAATTCAGAGGAAGAGGCAGAACAGGCACAAGAGAGGAGAGGTGGGTGAGGGACCCCACTCCTGCTCTGCAAACATTGTTCTAGGATCTATTAACTAGTAGTAAACTCTATTCATGTGCCTGGATAATAAAAAATGAGGCATTCCATTTCTTTCTAGTTCCCACAGACACTGAATCCAAGGAAAAAGCTGTAGCATAAACTACCCAACACCCTTCCACGAACTTTCAGCTGATAACAAGATGAATGGAGACAACAGAAACATCTATTTGCCTCCAGATATGACAAGGAAACAACGGAGCTTCACAAGCAAGTTCTTAAAGGAGGTCCTCCTTGATTTCTCCACCTGTTTGTCAGAAAACGTGTGTTTATACTGATTCTCATCACCCTCCAACACTGCAGTAAGCCTGACAACAGGGCCATACCTCAGACTCCAGAGTCGTTTTGACAGCTACATGTTATGCTTATTCTCTCTTGAAATCAGTAACCTATGGTAGACTCTGTGTGTGCGTGCACTGTTGGTGGTGATGTATGTATGTGTGGTGTGTGTATAGTATGTGTGTATGTGTGTGTTGCATGCATGTGTATATGATGTATGTGGTATGTGTGTATATGTTTGTGGTATATGTGATGTGGGATGTGTGTGTACACATGCAACTTTGCAAACAGCTTTCTTGAGTAGTCTAGCATGGCAACACCCTCCACACACACACTCCCAGACTCACCATTTGCATCATGTGAATATTCTATTCCAGACACAGTGCATCTTCGGAAAACCATCTTATTCTCAGTTAATGTGCCTGTTTTATCTGAGAAAATATACTGTATCTGCCCTAAGTCTTCTGTGATATTCAGGGCTCGACACTGCAGCTGTGAGTCTGTCTCTTCATCATAGAGCTCTACATCCTGGTTAATGAAGTATACTTGGCATACTTTGACAATTTCGATGGAAACATACAAGGAAATTGGGATCAAAACCTAGAAGACAAAGGCACACAGACATGAATTATCATGAGGGTTGGAGACTTGTGGAATTAGTCCAATGTAGTTAAATAGAAATTACTACAACCACAAATAAATAAGGACTATACTGTACCTTTAAGAGTTTAAATATGTTGATTTAGTCAATAGTGGGAAAGTACTAGAGTACTGACAAAGAGTTTAGACAAGGACAGCCTATGGTGATGCTGCAGAACAGAACTCCACTCTGGAGGTATGACAGCTTGGAGAGAAGGAAGTGCTTTTGTATCAGTAAGTTGTATTTGAGAGAAGCTAGGAAAGGAAAGAGAGAAAGAAGAAAAAACAATGTACAAAGTCCTCATAAGCAAAGTCACCTTGTACACATGGTGGCACTGGGCCCCCAGGCTTTCTCTGTGCTCCCCACAACAGAAAGCTGTTGCATCGCCCTCTGATACACCCCAAAGTTCATGAAGCAGCTGCACACTGAAATGCTGGTTGTGTGGTGAAGGGCAATTTCTGAGATCTTGTACAATACAAACCAAAGGGAAAGGAGTTTGTGTGTGTGTGTGTGTGTGTGTGATTTGGGTGAAGATTTACAGAGCAAATTCACTTTCCATACAGCAGTTCACATATACTTTGTCTCATGTCATTGACCACAGTTTACCACAATGCAACAGCTCCCCTTCCACTTCCTCGCCATAGTTACCTCTTCCCAGTGTCCATCCTTCCATACATTCCTGCCCCCTTAGCTGTCTCCCTGTGCATAAGCAGCCCTTCTTTCTCCCATGATTGTTCTCTCCAAGGAGTCTATCTACTTGAGATAAATGGTCAACTCATATGCCTGTATTTTGTTTGGCTGGAAACCACATGTGTGGGTTCAATTCCTGACCTAAGGGCAGCTAGGGGCCATAGTGTCAGTGGTTCCACCAGGCTCTATCGGACCACCAAACCTGGTCCCCACGTTTTATTTTTCTCCAAATGATTTGGAGTTTGGTTCCACATTGTTCTCCCTCTCTATCCAGGATCTCCTACATAGATCCCCTTCCAAGTGGATGACATTGGGAGCCAGGCACCATCTAGTTCTTCTGGTCTCACAGTCATATAGGCTGCAGATCGGATGGTGTACCAGT